AAACGAGGCGTTTTAGGTAGGCGTGGCTGACTCTTAACTTTTATAAAGAATATCTCTTTGGATTTGAGACTTTAGTCTTTGCAACTTTACAGATCTTCTTTATGCACCAAGAGCTTGTAACACTCAAAAGAGAAAGGAAAACTTGAAATCGCATCATATGACCCCTTTAAAAGACACATTGAGTAAAGAAAGAGGATAGGTTGTAGCCTACATTCACACCCTTCTTACCATTATTTGTGTTTTCAGTCAAGAAGTAGGCAAAGCCATGTTATCAGTAGAGTCGCATGGAACTTGTATGATTATCATTCACATAGCCTACCATGCTTTATGTTCAAAAACATAATATTTCCATTCTATATGCCCTATAAAACATGGTGTAATCACGAAAAATGTCCAGAAAACATGGTGTTACCATGTTAATACACCATAATAAGCATGGCAGTGCTGTGTTGTGTGGTGGTAGCCTACTACAGTACAGTGACGTTTTGAAACATATTATGATAGAGATGCACAGCGTTGGGGGTAACTCATTACAAGTAACGCGAGTTACGTAATCAGATTACTTTTTTCAAGTAACACATTACTTTTTAACTTACAAGAGAATATCTGAGTTACTTTTTCAAATAAGTAATGCAAGTGACTTTTTTTTTTTACCAATGTATTGACTGACAGCTCTGCTGTCCCCATGCTGAGAGAAATCAGATGTTACTGTAGTTCTAAAATAAATATGAATATGCATTAATTCATCTCACTCGTAAAAACAACAACACCACAGATTCAGTATTCCTCAAAATGAATAAAAATAACGCAACTCAGAATATGACGCAAACCTGCAATAATTAAATGTTAAACAAATGTACATGTAGCTCCTACTCCCATGCAAATGAGCTCGTAACATATGTATTACGAGTCTTTCTCAATGCATTATTATTTTCAATGACTGAATGTTGACCTCATTTTTGGTTTTCGTGGAACAAAAAAAGCTTCATACATCTCTTTTCCATACAACAACATTCAAAGTGACCACATTCGTCGAGCTCCAAAATGGACAGAGAACACAATTCTATGCGTGTAATACACTATATTCCAAGACTGTCAATGTCACATAATACGTTTCTGTGAGAATCAGATTGAAATTTAGGTCAATTTAGGCCCAAAAGCTCAAAAATCTCATTCTTGTATTTAAACTGGTAAGTTGTGTTCGTTTGCGACAAATACAAAAACCAACAGTGTTTGGCTGAACCTCATGCAAACAGTTTAAAGGAACACGCCACTATTTTTGAAAATAGGCTCATTTTACAACTCCCCTAGAGTTAAATAGCTGAATTTTACCGTTTTCGAATCCATTCAGCCGATCTCCGGGTCTGGCGGTAGCACTTTTAGCTTAGCTTAGCATAGATCATTGAATCTGATTACACCGTTAGCAATGATATTACACAGCACCTGAAAATAGGCTAACTTCCGTCAACATAACCAACGTGACCACATGCTTGCACAGGGAGCGTGCTGGGGACTATTTTCAGGCGCTGCGTAATATCAGTGCGCCTGCTGCACTCATGGTACGGCAGCAAAGTTCCTTGATTATTACGCCGGAATGAGAGTATAGTTCCTAGCCATATCGGCCTAGAAAATCGCAACTTTTCATTTCCCGTCGGTCTTAGTACACGATGTAACTACAGAAGGGTCAAGTTTTAAATAGGAAAAATATAGAAACTCTTTGGTCATTTTTGAGCGAGATGCTAACGGTCTAATCAGATTCAATGATCTATGCTAAGTTAAGCTAAAAGTGCTACCGCCAGACCCGGAGATCGGCTGAATGGATTCGAAAACAGTAAAACTCAACTGTTTAACTCTAGGGGAGCTGGAAAATGAGCCTTTAAGCGGCATTTTTGAAGGTGGACTCAATTTTAGAGCTTTGAGGGAAGGGAAATTTATCAGCTTAAATTTCAATATATTCCTGAGACAGCGATCGTAGGGCTTCAGAAAACTTGAATATTGTGCACAAGTTGTATGGACCGCTTTTATGGCATGTTCATGTTCGTTTCAGTGCTTGATATCTGTGGTCACTGTGAACTGTTTTTGTGGTGAAATGAGCTGCATGAAGATTCTTCAGAAATTTCTCCTCATGTTCCACAAAACAAATCCATACAGGTTTGGAACAACCTGAGGGTGAGTAAACCATGACAGACATTAAATCTTTGGGTGAATTATGTCTATAGTAAACTGCTTCTTGTTTAAAGTGCCCCTATTATGGATTTTTGAAAATTGCCTTTCATGCAGTGTGTAACACAGCTCTAATTGAATGAAAACATCCTGCAAAGTTTTAAATCTGAAAGAGCACCGTGTATAAAGTTATTGTCTCTCAAAAGAAAGAGTTGACTCTGAATCATTGAAACGAGTCGTTTTTTAAATGAATCCCAAGCCGTTTCATGTTGACGGCAACATGAAACATTAGCATATTCCCCGCCCACTTCTTGGTCTTTTCGCCTTGGTCTGAATGAAAATGCAAATGCATTCTTTGCCACTAGGCGCCGCTTCTGGAGCGGTAAAATAGCTGTTTCCCTAGTAAAGCTGTACACAAAGCAGCACTGCGCTCACAAACACCGCTTTATCAGGCGTTACAGGCGAGATGACGTTAAAATGAGACCAATCACACGCAGATTAGCGTCACGCAAAGCAGGGGTTTGGAAAAATGAGTCATTAAACTAATTGTTTGGGAGTCGTTGAGCAAGTAAAGTAAAAATAAATGCATATTATAAGACAATGAAAGTGTTTTTTGACCTTGCATGCATGTCGTCCTGTTGTTGGGGACTCCCAAAACCAAAATATGAACCTTTCATTGCCTATAATAGGGACACTTTAATGTTCAAGAAAATAAGCATGGTTGGAAAGATAATGAGACCATAGTTACAGGTTTCTGGAATTGCACAGTATAATGCTAGGTGAAAAGTAAAAAATGTGAACAAACCTTTTATTGCATTATAGCACTTGATCCTTGATCCCATCTGAGGAGTAAACGTATCGTAAGTGCACGTAAAGAAACGAGTCTATACAGCCGATTCGCTTGAAAAGAAGAATGGATACATGGACTAGGTGCTCCCACAGGAGACATCTCAAGAGCTAAAGCAAAGATGAAAATGGCTGTTGAAGATGGTTTGTAGATCTGCACACTGATGCTGATGTCTGGAGATGAGACGGTAGTTCTGGCACTTCAGTCCTATCAGATACCGTCATAATCAGAGTCCTGTCGACTGCTGATAACGCCCCGCTCCACCACAAAGAAAGTAATGGTGCCCAGGAAGCCCACCAGCACCATGATGAGCAGCTGCCAGTGGAGGAGAAGGTAGTTGCTGTAGAAGAAGGCCACCGCAGCTGTGATGGACTGCAGAGAAAGGAGGAAACGTTGAAACGTCATGGGCCAAAAACACATACTACTCAATAAACAGATTTGTGGTCAATAAACTTGGGTTTTTCCGAAGACTGATTCTTAAATCTCATAAAACCATAAGAATATATACAGTGGGGCAAAAAAGTATTTAGTCAGCCACCAATTGTGCAAGTTCTCCCACTTAAAAAGATGAGAGAGGCCTGTAATTTTCATCATAGGTATACCTCAACTATGAGAGACAAAATGAGAAAAAACAGGCAACCACATTGTATCAACATTACAGTTCAGATCGAATCAAATGTTCATAATATGTTCATGTCACTATAATGCTATATACAGTATATCACAATATCGTTTTTTTGATCCATGTAGTAATGTTTACATTTGGATAATCCAGTGATTTAGATGCTTTGCAAAAATATACTTTTTTTTATTTATGTGGTACTTGATGGACACAAACCAAAAGAAAAGACACTTAACAATTCTTGTAAAAAAAAAACTGTTAAAAAAAACAAGACTCAAAACAGTAAAACTTATATTACATATTATATAGTATATTATTATTATTAATAACACATTATTAGTGTCTAAAATAACAGAGCTCACCCAGGCTTCTGTTTTTCTGTTCTTCTTATCATAATCTCCTACCACACAAATTCTATACTATATTATTATTATTATTAGTGCTGCCAAACGATTAATCACATCCAAAATAAACGTTTTTGTTTACATAATATATGTGTGTGTACTGTGTATATTTATTATGTATATATAAATACAAACTCATGCATATATATATTTAAGAAAAATATGTTATGTTTATATATTAAATATATTTATATCCAATATAAAATATAATAATATAAATATATATACACATGTAAATATTTTCCAAATATATACTGAGTGTGTGTATTTATATATACATAATTAATAAACAGTACACATACATATATTATGTAAACAAAAACTTTTATTTTAGATGTGATTAATCACGATTGATTGACAGCACTAATTATTCTTATTCTTATTATTATAAATACATTATTAGCATCTAAAAGAACAAATCTTAAGAAGTCTACTAAAGGTGTCCCCCAAGGTTCTGTTTTGGGCCCTCTTCTTTTTATCTGCCATTATGGTGTGAATTACCACGGCTACCAACCACAGAGATTTTCCTTTGAGGGACTGAACTTACCAGAGTATGCAAAGGGTATGCTCAGTAAAAGCATCTCTTTGGTCACAGCTAGCTGTATGGATCTCTCTGTTGAAATGAGATAAGAGATCTTAGTAAATGAACCAAGAAGTTAATAATATGCTTTAAAAACACAATTTTAAATCTTTGAATATATTTTTATATATTTTGGTGCCACTTACTGAATGCCTCAAATGCCTGAGAGCACAGACTCTGGGATGGACTTAAGAGAAACAAGAATAGGAAACAAGGCAAAGGAAAAAATACACAATAAAATATGATTAAACCAGTCCAGAAAAATGTCTTGACTTGCATAAAAATATGCACTTACACCACAGAGCTACTATCAGAGATGTCTGCTGGTAGTAGTGACTCAGAGGCATCAGTAGGTGCAGGTTCAGGGTCTGGCCGCTGGATCAGGAAAAAAAGAAAGCTGCCCACCAGGCTGATGACCGTTAGTGAGATGAAAACCGTCTGGCGGTCCTTATCTGACACCAAGAAACAATATTTTTCAGCTTTATTTGACTAGAGACCCATGTTATAATTCTGTCTAACCATTCAAAACTGATTTTGCATGGATGCTTCTTTTACAGTATCTTTATGTTATATGAAATAAGCAAACAATTAATTTATTTAAACCAATAATTACTGTTACAATAAAAAAAACTCAATTTTTACACACATTATAACTGTCCTACAGTTGTGGGCGATATCCACCAAACTGGCCAGACCAGTTTATTACATAAAATATACTCACTTGTTATGTGACTCTTGCCACGCCAGGCAAAAAATATGTAGAGATTACCAAAGAATAAGCTGTGAATAAAAGAGAATCAATGAATCATTGTTCCTTCTACACATACTTGCCATACAATGGCAACAAGCAAGATGTACCTAAACTGCATCAATGCCCAAAATATTCCACTGTTTCTTCCAATGGTGGAATCTTTGGAGTTGATGGTGAGCAGATTCCCCTGGGCCGTCCAGAGCACTGCGAGACACAAAGTTAGCTTTAGAGAATGTGTGGCTACATAATATGCTTTCACAACTTAACAGATAATGATATCCCACCTGCAGCTGCGATTCCGAGCAACACGGATAAAGTGTAGAATGAGGAGGTGTACGGATGAATGAAAACAGCAATATAACCACTAAAAGAGAGCACAGATTGAGTCTTTTTAATAAAAACTTTATCATAAATACTAAGAAAATTGCTCATTTATTACTAAATGTATACTACTATATTAAATTAAATGCTTTAGGCACTTACCTGTAAACAAGTCCACTAAAAAACAAAGACAACTGAGGTCCAATGACAGCTATCACTGAAGGCGCTATAAGGTTAGACGCAGAGAATACGGCATAAATTATCGCCATGCTAGAAGAAAAGCATGAGAAGCATGTGTTAAGGGTGGTATTTTGATTAACAATGATCACCAAAGTAAATACAACATAACTGTTTCATTGTGTTTTATAGAAAAGCCAAAGTAAAAAATCATTCTACAGGTTATTACTTTTTATTTACAGAAGGGGAAACAAGTGGCAATTGTAACCATTTTTCTCATAACTCATAAACAAATACAATGTCGTATATTGGTATAAAATAAACATGTGACAACAGTAATAATATGACTCAAATATTTACATTGAGAAAAACTAGATCAGAGAGTTTAATTTAATCCAAGAAGAGAGAAAATTACAATCTGCTCACTTACAATGGTTAGAGGCAACTGAAACACTTACATTAAATAATAATATTAACCCAATACATCTCACATATGTACACACCTCAAAAGAATCTAATATATCTAATCTAATCTAGCTATATATTAGATTAGATTAGATATGTTACAATCTGCTCACTTACAATGGTTAGAGGCAACTGAAACACTTACATTAAATAATAATAATAATATTAACCCAATACGTCTCACATATGTACACACCTCAAAAGAATCTAATATATCTAATCTAATCTAGCTATATATTAGATTAGATTAGATATATTAGATTCTTTTGAGGTGTGTACATATGTGAGATGTATTGGGTTAATATTATTATTATTCATAATACAAAAAATGATGAATCGTTTATTTAAAGATTCATAATGTTCATTAAACAATTGAAATATTAACAACTGCTTTACAACTGCCCTAACATCATAGTCATGATAATATCCCGATAAAGCCACCAGATAAATTTTAACCACATACACACACATTTTTGTCCCCCCCCCCCCCCCAAATTATAAAATTTCTCATGGAAGGGAAACTCTATAGAGTCCGTGCTGAATAAATGACACAGTCACATGCCAAACGCTTACATTTCTATTTCAAAGTTCTGTGTTTTTTTGAGAACAGACAGTGCTTTTGTTACATAACCATGGTCAATGTGATTCCTGAGGTCAAAGAGAGATTTATTAGATTACAGCACAACATCAGATGACCCTGATTTTCATCCATCAACCATCATAAATCTCATTCAAAAAGCGTACAGAGGCCAAAACATGTCACATGACTTGAGCAGAAATAGAGCACAGCTGTGGGATTCTGAAAGTAAAAATCCCATTCATCGCTTTTATGTGTATGTGGATATTTTACAATACACTTCTATTACAATTTTCGTAACATTTTTAATAAATGCACTTTTTACTGCCATTTTTTTGTGTCATTTGCAATGCTTATGCAATTAACTATGCATAAAAGACGTCTAGTACACAATCTCGCAATTTTATATCCTTTTCAAATCAGCATTTCTAATGTTGTGCTTCATACGGGAGCTGAGTGACTGAAGTCTTTTTAATACCCATTGAAAAAAAGCGAATGAGAAAGTTACTTCTGGCACCTGAAGGCCACTGAAAAAAGTGGGTGGATAGCTCTATAAAGAATGTGGCTATGAAGGAAGAAATGAAGAAAACGAATACCTTGTGTAGCCACTTCCATGAAACTCTGTACTGTTGAAACTCTTTATTACGGTTTGCTGGAAAAAAGTGAAAATGTTGGTTTGAATACATTCTTATAAGCCTAGCCGAATCTGATGTGATATCATTCATCAGACCATGCATTTCTAAGCGTGAAAAAGCTCAAAACCCAAATCTGATGTGATAACCTTCATCAGATCATGCGTTTCTAAGCGTGAAAAAGCTCTAAACCCAAATCTGATGTGATAACACTCATCAGATCATGCATTTCTAAG